GTGTAAAGCATTATTCATTCTGGTGAATGGATCATGATACTCCTATTGTCTATGATTACGCCATATAAGATTAAGTTCAACTTATTCTCAGCCCCCACGGATCATATGCCCACTTTTTTTTTAATCAAACTAGATTGATCTCCTAATCAAGGCCTCTGGTTTCAAAAGCTAGTTATTTTTTCTCAAAGAGAATTTTCCATCTTTGCAGGAGTTTTCACCAGATGGACGTTACATTATTAGTGCCGATCGGGACTTCAAAATCCGAGTAATGTCATGCTTCTTATTAACCATGAATCTTAGTAAGATTTCTTGATGATCTCTTGCTAACATCAAAATTTCTTCTGGTTCATAATTACAGGTCTCTGTGTTCCCAGAAAAGCCATCAGATGGGGCTCATGAGATTCAAAGTTTTTGCCTTGGCCATTCAGAGTAAGAATTTCTTGAAATTCTGGTGGTCCTAACACCTCGGTAGTGATGATCAAGCTGATCCAGAATAGTCTTTTTCTGTTGAAATATTGGTTATACTAATAAATTTTAAAATCTAGGGACAGTTCTCTGGTCATTATTGATAAAAGCCAATCTTGACATTTGATAAGGATACTTAACCCAAGAAAGGAGAAAAACATTTTGACCGGGATGATTTAGGTGGTCGTTTTGTGTCATCCAACTGTTACATCTGATGAAATATTTATACCATGCATGTCTTTGCCGAATTTATTCTTCTTTTACACGTTTTGTAGGTTTGTGAACACGGGTTGTGTGGAATTAGACAAAAGTGGCCTTATAATGACAATAACAAAAGCAAATACACAGTATATAAAACAAATAATGTGGTTCAATTAATGTGACCTAATCCTCGGTGTGGAGCAGAGATATTCCACTAATGAGTACAGAAAAGAGAGTACCAAAATTAGAGATAGAAACATGGCATTGGCTTTGGTGTTACTGTTATCTGTGTTTCTCTTTCGGTACCTGTGTTGACGACCTTCTTTCGTTTTTAAAAGTGCATTTTATTGCCTTCCAGCAATTCTATTCATCCTCCCCTCCCCTCCCCCCTCAAAAAAAAAATAATCAAAGGATAAATAAAAGATAGATGAAAATAGTTGTTGAGTATTGAACTTCGGCATACATTTCCACAGGAAGAAATTCTAGTTTTGACAATGCTTACTGGTTATCATGGTCATGGCTCATTTATTGTCTCAATTGTCAGGTTTGTTTCCTGCCTTGCCTTCATCTGCAACCAGGATTCCCAGCAGTGGTATTTGCTTTCAGGAGGTGGTGATTCAACTGTGAGTAAATTTTTAAAACGAACTAATTTTTTTAAAACCCAAATCACCTTTTTACGCCTTTTAAGGCTAAATTTGGAAAAGATAAGCAACTTTCTTATGATGGTATTCGGCCAACTTGCATGCACCTCGATTATTCAATTGTGTAACTGCCACCATAACTTTGGCAGATGGGAGGAAATAATCCCCCCCCCCCACACACACACACACATTTTTTTATTTATTTTGTTTGTGTGTGTCTGCTGAAATTTAAACCTGAGTTTTCATGATTCTCCTCCAACTTCATTGACCAGTGACTCCTAGGCCACACCCTCGAGTTCGATACAAAACAAAATTGGCAACGTAAACTACAAATACTTTTTCTGAAGTGTTTAGTTAAATGAAATTAATTACTTAAGAATTATATGAGTATTTTATTTTAATTTCATTTTTTTTATCTACTTTGACCATTGCTCTTTCTTTCTTTTTTTCTTTATGCCAGGTACGCTTGTGGGACTTCACTTGTGGTTCTCTTCTTGATACCTGTCATGTTGGAGAGGTAGCTTCATCTCTTTTGGAGTGAGATACTTGATAGATTTAATTTGGTTTTCTCTCTCCATCACAATAATTAATTGGCTGATTGAATCTCTTGCTAGAAAATAAATCTTTAGTGATTTGATTTAGCTGATTTTCAATCCATAAGCTTGTGGTGATTGTGTAATAGGGCGTGAAGCGATCGATCTTTCTTTGTTCCATTTCCTTTCTTCCTCTACGTTTCTTGTGTTGAAACAAGAAACTGCATTAAAGCTTTAATGTTTAGCTTAGTTCTTAATTTTCTCTGCAATTGTGAAGACAGGACTATTACAGTCAAAAGAAGGAATAGATGACAGGTTGCTGGCTGTCACTGATCTTTGTGCCACTCCTTGGGGATCTCTAATCGCGGTGGCTATTCAGAGGTAAGTCTCTCGTTATGTCAACATGTTGACTTTTCATCCTTTAAAGAGCTCTATTAATTTGTTCTTGAATCATAATACCTTTCTCCGTTGAACTGTAGCTTGGCAGGCGTCATGCTTTTGAGTTGCAACCTTTCAGCTAAATCTCTCCATGTTGCAAGAGTAGGTTCTTTACCATCTCTAAATCACGAAAATCTATTTAGATTTTGTATCGTTCAAAGTATCAACAGCCAGCATCAAGTGGAAATGTTATATGATGCTATTTGACAATATCTTTTTATTTTTTTTTAATTCTGAAGGAAGGGAAGCCTTGACATAACTAGTGAAGTTGTTGTCATGTGACTTAGGCCATGGGTTCAAGCCGTGGAAACAGCCTCTTGCAGAAATGCAGGGTAAGGCTGCATAGACCCTTGTGGTCTGCCCTTCCCTGAACCCCGTGCATGGCGGAAGCTTTAGTGCACCGGGCTACCCATTTATTTTGTATTTGTTTAACCTTTTCCGTTGGATGTAAATTCCAGGTGGTTCCGATTCCTGGGGAGACTTTTATTCCCACAAGCTTAGCAGCTGCCTCTTCATCGAATCAGTTGTGGATGGTCATGGGTGCATCGACTCTATGTACTTCCCATTCAGCACCTTTGGCTTGTGTGAAGGTTCTCAATGGTTTCTGCGAGAGCAACCAGGACTCTGTTGAGCACGAGGCACGTGTTTTAGAAGATAAAGATTTACCAGGTAGTGAACAACTCCTTCAAACGTTGCAGGGGAGTTCGTTCATTGAGAAAGATGCACTATCAGCGGCTGCAGAAGCAGTGAAAACTGCAATGTGTAATCTATTAATCAAGAAGCAGTACCCTTCTGAAAATCGAGAGTTTAGAAAGAGAGGGAGGAACGACAAGAGAGTAGATAAGAAAAAATGAGATCGGTGGACAAAGTTACATGGTATGTATGCTGGTGGGAGGTTATCAGAGTATTTATAGGCCGAGTTGATTTTGCTGCCAGCAGTGAGCAAGGTAGTGGCTTTCCAGCTCGAGCTCGTAAACAGTTCTGCTGATGAAAGAAATCAAATTTCGCCTTTGCTGTGAAGTAGTTTTTTTTCTGCTTTTAATAACGATTTGTGATATGATATGGTATTGTTTACAAATTTTCACCCTCATTATAACTTGTTTTAATTGTTTACCTTGCATTAGTTCTGGTGCTTACTGTAGCTTATTTTTATGCTTTTGATATTGCCATAATTTAAAAGCCTTCATCTGTTTTGGTCCAATATTGATTAATCTTTTCTGTTTGAAACTATAATCAATGTTTTTTTTTTTTTGATTTCTAGTTAATCTGAAGGAGCATTTACAATTTTGGCAGTGATGATTATATAACCACAATGACTTGTGTTTTAAAATTGAGCATAATATATAACGTGTGATGTGTAAAAGCAAGCAATTAAACTATCAAAAGAGCATTTAGATACACATAACGAATTATAATATAGTTAAAAAGAAATTTATGATAGTGAAGACATTAAATCAATGTTTTATTAAAATTTTGAAACATATTAGTAATATTAATTGTGTTTAAATTATATCGGAAATAAAGTTGAAGGGTATATTTGTCCTTTTCTAGTAGAAAGAAAAAATAAGCAGGACAGTCAAGTTGGTTAGTGTAAATAAAAATTGACAAGAAAAGAAATAGAAGGAATTCCACATCTTGTAGCGCCATTTTTGCTATTTTTTGACGATGCGATTTTTAGGCTTTTTTTCAACCAAAATGCAACCGAATTCGACGCATTCATGTTTTATTTATCTCCATTTGCTTTCTTCAATCGATCACCATTTTCCTAAGTTTGAAAAAATCCATTCACATTTGCTACAGTTAATCACCGGTACAGTACGATTTTCGCTCTCTCTCTTATTGAACTCATTTTGCTTCTTTTTTTAAACAGTTACGAGAAGCCGATCTAGAATTTGAAGTTCTATTTAGAATTGAACTCACTCTGCTTTTGAAATTACGGGATCAGAATGTTGAAATTTTAGTGATACCGTTGAAATTGAACTCGTTTTGCTCAACAATAACCGAGGCGGATCTAGGATTTGATATTTTTATCATAACTGAACTCACTTTTACTTTTGAAATTACAAGTTGAGTATTTTATTGAAATGTTAATGGTATAATTTATATAAATGGTCTGAGTCGAAAGTACTACTCGAATAATAGAGTGGCGGATTTAGAATTTAAAAGTTTTTATTATAACTGAACTTACTGTACTTATTGCCATTATGAGTTCGGAATCTGATATTTGTTGAAAATTTCAGTCATTATTTTTATATATATGATCTGATGTCGATAGTATTGGGTTTTGGTTGAACTTGTTTTGCTTTAACAATTACTTGAATGTCAGAGTCGCATTTAGGATTTGAAGATTTTTATTAGAAATGAACTCACTCTCCTTTTGATATTACTAGTTCAGAATCTATTTTTTGTTGAAATGTTTGTGGTTTTTATATTGGTTTGAGTCAAAATTGAACTCGTTTTGGTTTAACAATTACTCGAATAACAGAGGCGGATCTAGGATTTAAAACTGAATTGATGTTCCAAAAATTGTTTCTTTTTTTTTTGTTGTTGTTGTTTAGATGTTTTATATCAATATTTATTTGTAATTTGATCATTGTAATAGCTTTTTGCATGTTCCTAACATTAATAAGCCAGACTTAATGCATTTCTTTTAGTATGAAATGTCGTTTTATTTGTGGTTTTTAATTGTTATTTTAGATCGTATTAACAAGAATTTTCCGAGATGGAGGAGACTGAGGAGAAGACCATTGAGTTGGAAGAAGGAATGGAGTGTGTTCAAAAGGGACTTAATAAGTTGAAAATAATCATAGAAGGAGAGCCGGAGTCATTCACCTCAGATGAATACGTGATGCTCTACACGTATCCTTAGCATTCCTTGAGCTTAGTCTGCATGTTTTCAATCTTAGTTAGACCTTTCCGATAATCATTTCTATTTGTCGAACAAGTTTGTCCTTAATTTGAAGCATAGCACTATCTATAACATGTGTACTCAGAAAGCACCTCATGATTACTCTCAGCAACTGTACGATAAGTACAAAGAAGCAGTTGAATATTACTATTGTAAGAGCATTTCGCTATCTCAATCTCATTGTTTTGTGATGATGTTCCAAATAGTAACCAGTCTCCATTTGCTCCGTTAGGTTTTGCCTTCTCTGAATAAGAAGCATGATGAATTCTTGTTGAAGGAGCTTGAGAAAAGATGGGCATCTCATAAACTTATGGTCAAATGGCTTTTAAAGTTTTTCCGTTATCTTGACAAGTTTTTTATCAAACGAGCTGAAGTCCCTGCACTTAATGAAGTTGGTCTGAGTTGCTTCCGGGATCTGGTTAGCTTTTGGAATGATTATTCTTCAGTTGGATTTTTTCTTTCTATATTTGTCTTCTCTGAGTTACTATTAGGATAAAAAAAAGTCTTTATATCGTTTTGTTTGTTGATAATAGGTTTATCATGATGTGAAAAATAGAGTTACAGATGCTGTGATAGCACTGGTAAATGTTTCTTTCTTCATTTTTTTTTTTCTGCTAGACTCAATGTGTTAGAATTCTATCTGCTAGATATGAGGTTTAATGAAGTATCGTTTTGTATCAGATTGATCAGGAACGTGAGGGTGAGAAAATAGACAGAGTGTTACTGAAGAGTGTGATAAATTTGTATATTGATATGGGAAAGGGAAGGATGGATTATTACGTTAATGACTTTGAAGAGGCGATGCTTCGAGATTCTGCCTGTCATTATTCTCGAAAAGCTTCAACCTGGATTGTTGAAGATTCTTGTCCAGAATATATGCTTAAGGTAGAAATGATTTTCACAACTCTTTCACCTCGAGGATTGCTCTTGTATTCCATTCTTATACTAGAATAGGTTCCAACGCCCGTTCTTTGCTGACACAGGCAGAGGAGTGCTTGCAAAAGGAGAAGGATAGAGTGTCTCATTATCTGCACTCTAGCACTGAGACAAAACTTCTGGAGCAATAGTACGACTAATAATATGAACGGACAGCAAGACTACGCACAGGTACTATAACTGATGCTTGATATAATTTCTATGTTCTCTAGAACTTAAAGAAGGGAAGAATGAAGGGGTTACTTTTGTGGAGTTTTGTCAGGTTATTGATGTTGTGTACTTGATTGTATATGTTTCCCCCTTGGTAACAGGGAAGGATTTTGTTTTACAGAACCTTCTTTTTTTAATGTTCTTTATGCCCGGACAACCACGGTTATCAAAAAAGAAGAAGAATGTTCTTTACTGTTGGGAGAGGGAAGAGCGGATGTGTCTTGTGTTTCGAGAAGTTGTACCTCTTTGCCAACTATTAACTGTTCTATTACTTATGGAACCTTTTCTTTCTTGAACGAAACGCACAAATATAATGTTTTAGTTTTTACTCAGAAAGAGTCAGTTGATTATACTTCTTTGGTTGGATTTATTTTTCAAAGCTGAGACCAACATTTTTTCTGCAGAAAATGCAAAATCAAGTATTGATTACGTATACCAATCAGTTGCTTGAGAAGGAGGATTCTGGATGCCGAGCTTTGCTTAAAGATGAGAAGGTATTAAACCCCTACCCCCTTTTTCGTTTCTTTTTTTCTGTAAAACATTATGTGTTTAATTGTTGTTATGAATCTTACATTGTATTTGAAGCTGTTTTGCTTTTTCTTATTCCTCCTCTCTCCCATCACAGGTTGAGGATTTAACTCGAATGTATAGTCTATTCCACAAATTTCCTAAAGGAATAGAACTAGTAGCAGAGATATTTAAGCAGGTAGTTTTATCATCCATACCATATGCTGAGCAACCAACACTTAAAGATTTTGCTTTTCTTCTTTTGTTCCAATTTGGGACTGTGCAACGTCTGATGGTACATATGTGCAGCACGTAGCTGCTGAAGGCATGATCGTGGTGCAACAGGCTGCAGATGTAGCAAATAACAAGGTTTAATATCCAATAACCGAAACTTGTGCTTTACTTGACAATGCTGTATGTTGACTTTACTGTTAGCTTCCATCAGCTCCTCTTCTTTGATAAAGTTTTTAAGCTTCAGGAAAAAGTTAATGCTTCATTTGAACCCTACGAGAGATGATTTTGTATAAACTGTGACAAGGACAAGGTAGATATGTATAAGCATCCCAATCTGAGAAAACTTTCAAAGTTCCTGAGAAACTAGAATCTGAGTGGAGTAAAAAGCTTTTGCAAAATAAGTAACATATATCTGAAGTTGGTTTTGCAACTGGCTATGCTTATGGTTTCCAAGTAATCTTGTTTTTCATTGTAGTTTATTGGTGTTGTAATTTGTAAATGATGATATGTATGTTCTTCTACAGATCGAAAGCTCGGGTGGTTCACACGAGCAGGTAAAAGACTACCTCCTATATTGTGAATAGAGGTCCATTTTATGTAATTGTTAGTTGGTTCAATGATGGACCCATCTCTTCCCTCAGGACTTTGTCAAGAAGGCATTTGAGCTACATGACAAGTATATGGTGTATGTGAAAGGCTGTTTTGCTGATAACTCTATCTTTCACAAGGTATTCTAGTTGTTAACCACTGTGTGTTAATCCCTATATGATGTATTATTACTTGAGACATTATCACTATTACTTCAGATATTATTGTAAAGGAATGTATTTTGAGTCTAACTCTTGTGGGGAGGATTGTCTAAGTCCATGTAAGGAGTTAAAATTCTTCTCATCCCACCGACGTGAGACTTAACACCCGACCTCACGCCCAGGAATGGGCATCTGGAGCATGGACAATTTAATATGGGGGAGCCCAACATCATAAATCATAAATTGGGATGTACCTAACTCTGGTACCATGTAAAGAAAATAGTTAGATATGATATGGTAAAGTATATATATGAGTTACGTTCACAAGGAAAAGTGTGAATATAGAAGGACTCAAGCATCGTCTTCACTCATTCTCCTACTAGCTGATGTATAAACTCTTGACTTTCATAGGCTCTGAAAGAGGCATTTGAGGTCTTCTGTAACAAAAGTGTTGCCGGCTCTTCAACTGCAGAGCTCCTTGCTTCTTATTGTGATAATACCCTTAAAAAAGGTGGGAGTGAACAACTCAGTGACGAGGTTATTGAGGATACATTGGAAAAGGTATGCACAAAATTTACATCCCTCTTCAGTTTGGTGGTCAAAATTTCATATTCTTGCTCTAACACCGTCAAAATGGTTTACTTTTTGTGTAGGTGGTCAAACTTGTTACGTACATCAGCGACAAAGATGTGTTTGCTGAGTTCTACAGGTTTGAATCTACTGGCAGCAGTTCCTTTTACAAAATCAGTTGAGTTGATTGTTACATGTTTAACCATTTGGTATGCTAATTGTCTTAATGAATGATAGGAAGAAGCTTTCTCGCCGATTGCTTTTTGATAGAAGTGCCAATGAAGAACATGAAAGGCTTATCTTATCAAAGCTAAAGCAGCAGTGTGGTGGACAGTTTACATCCAAGATGGAGGGAATGGTTAGAATAGTTCAATGGACTTCTATATTTTGTCTCTTCTCGTCCTTTGAGATATCTAAAATACGGGTGGTTGGAAAATGTAAAAACAGGTGACAGATTTGTCATTGGTGAAGGATAATCAGACCCACTTTCAGGAATATATCAGCAACAACACTGCAACAAATCCTGGAATCGATATGACTGTCACTGTTCTTACTACTGGATTCTGGCCTGGTTATAAATCTTGTGATCTGAGTCTCCCTGTAGAAATGGTAAGATGTGCTTCTCTCGCTATCCAGTCCATACTAGTAGTCGTAGTATCCTTCCTGTAGTTTCTTGTCCTTTGATATCTGTTACTATACATTGTTTCTTGTACTTCAGTTATCGCATTATTTAGTTTTAGTTACGATCCAAAATACTTTGTTATGCTTTCACTTCCATTACTTCTTGTTGGACTGCTTTTTCTTGACCCAAGGGTCTATAGGTAACAACCTCTTTATCTCTAAGATAGGGGTATCGTCGCTATACACTCTACCCTAACTTTGTTATGTTGTTGTTCTTATTGTTTCTGAGCTCTTTGGTTTTGTCATTCATTTGTCTCAGGCAAAGGGCGTAGAATCCTTCAAGGAATTTTATCAGAAAAAAACGAAACACAGGAAACTAACATGGATATTCTCATTGGGACAATGTAACCTTAACGGAAAGTTTGAACAGAAAACTATTGAATTGATTCTGGGAACATACCAGGTGATCGATTGGTCAAGTATTTCTATTGCAAATATGCTGTTGAATTAACATGTTTCCTCTTTTCAGGCTGCTGCTCTACTACTATTTAATGCTTCTGATAAATGGAGTTACGCTGACATCAAGACTGAGTTAAACTTGGCTGATGATGACTTGGTCAGAGTTCTGGCATCCGTATCATGTGCCAAGTACAAAATTCTTAACAAGGAGCCTAGTGGTAGCACTGTTTCATCAACTGATCATTTTGAGTTCAACTCCCAGTTCACTGACAAAATGAGGAGGATTCGGGTATAGATACTTGAGAATTTCACATGATACTCCACAATGATGTATTTTATAAAGGTATACTTGGAATTTATACTTCAGCAACGCGACTTGTTTGTACCTTTCAGGTCCCTTTGCCTCCTGTTGACGATAGGAAGAAAATGGTTGAGGAAGTTGGCAAGGACAGACGTTATGCAATTGATGCCTGTCTGGTGCGTATAATGAAGGCCAAGAAAGTTCTAACTCATCAACAGCTAATTTTGGAGTGTGTTGAGCAGTTGAGCAAAATGTTCAAGGTAACCACAATTTTTCAACCACTTTGGATATCTATACATAGTAGGTTGTCGAGTGTTCTCGTACTTCTAGTAGTATAACATAGGTATTCCATAGTTATTTTGCTGTCTTGTTTTCTTTCTTTTACTTTCCTGCTTTTTCTGAGCCGGGGGTCTATCAGAAACAACCTCTCTTCCCCACGAAGGTAGAGGTAAGGTCTGCGTACATCATCCTACCTTCTCCAGACCCCACTTATGTTGTTGTTGCTTCGTTTGTTAATACCCCGAAATCCATATTTTAAATCAGTACCTTCACATTGGACATTTCATTTACTAGCTTTTATCTCGGTCTGATTCTTGAATTGTTACCTACGTAGCCTGATGTCAAAGCAATCAAAAAGAGGATCGAAGATCTTATCACTCGAGATTACTTGGAAAGAGACCTGGAGAACACAAACACATACAAGTACATTGCTTGAGGTGCTGATCTCATACCTCGGCTGGTTGACATTGTCTGCGCCTGACAATACATCAAATAAGTACTGCTAGTTTCTTGGTTGTAGCTAACGCGTTTTGCAGTTTCATGTTGACAATCACTGCACCTTGCCCCCCTATATGAATAGGAAACTTTTTGCAGTTTTAGATATCACTACAATGCTTAGCAGTATCACTATGTATTCCCCTTTGTTGTTATTTGTGGAATGAGGATCTTTGTATAAGTCTTATGCTTTGGTGGTTGCAGTAATGCCAACATTTACAATTGATTGTCTTTTTCTAGAACTGTACTCTTACCTCACCCAAATCTAGTCTGTCTTAGCGGATTCAGAATTTTGACGTAGTGAATAATTGGAGTTATGAAATGTTTGTCTAATTCAAGTTACTATGGATGAAGTGATCGAAATGATAAGTGGTTATGATTGCGGAAACAGAGAAAGTAAGGGACCAATGGTTCTCTTTTGAATCAAGTAGCAACAAGTTTGAGGATTACAACTATAGAGTGGGGTTGGGAAACAAAGCTTTGTAAACAACTTGCTTCTTCCTCCCTTACTTCTTGGCGATTAGTGCAATTCGACTTTGAAACTCTAGGTCTACCAAACATGCGAATAACACAATTCACCACACATACAGTGGTGTAGCCAGAAATTTTAGAAACGGTGTTCAAAAATTTCATAGCTCGTAAAAATAATTTAAAGAATGGGTGTACTTAAATGTTTGTAAATCAAACTACATAACATTAATGATTAATTTCTTTAATTAAAATGTACCAATTTTTTAAAAAATTAAACTACATAATATTTAGCTTAGTGTCACATTTATTGATAGGAAGTAACAAATAAAGAAAAAGAAAGATATTTCACTAAATCACTTTTCCGTTTCAACATTTCACAAACCTCTAATGACTAAAAACGAGAAATGAAAAATAAATAATAGAATCAAACGAGTTATATTAGAAGAGAATTTATATAAAATATTTTCACTTTTAGCAGCTTAATAAAAAATAAAAAATAGAATCAAACGAGTTATATTAAAAGAGAATTTATATAAAGTATTTTCACTTTTAGCAGCTTAATGGAATAACTAAATAAGATTTTCTTATTAACTTTAAATTAAATAATTCTTTTAAATTTTATTTAAATTTTTAATGAAAAGAAAAAAATCAAAGTCAAATAACGGGAATCGAACCTGCGCACTGCAAGTTGCAAAGAACTCAGTAAGAGTTGAACGACTAAAATCACTAAGCTAAATTTTTTTTATTGTTTTTCAATGGTGTCCAAAATGTGTTATTTAACCATTTAAATTATTATTTTTCTTATAAATACGGTATAATTTTCTGAAGGAGGGTATCCAATTGGACACCCTAGCCAAAGGGTAGCTACGCCCTGCACATATAAAAAGACAAATACTCTTCAATTTTGTGATTTAGAACTTATATATTCCTTATTAAAACAATTAGCACATATATACCATCACCGTCTAACAAATAGAGAATATTTTATTAATAGGAAAACTTTCACATATAGCCACTAAAAATAGCCTAATTACTTTCCATAACTATAGTTTGATAATTACAATTCGTAGCAACATGTTATAGGGAGGAGAGAGGTGAGCGAGACTGGGAGAGATAGGAGAGAGGCGAGAGTGGGGGGAAAGTGGGAGAGAGGTGAATTGTATATGTATATTGGTTAGATAATTATATATTATACATATTATTTGTATAAAAAGCAAGCGAGATTGGGAAAGGGAGGAAAGAGGCAAGTGAGTTTGGGAGAAAGGCGAGCGAGAGAGGGCAGAGAGTGGGAGAGAGGTGAATTATATATGTATATTGGTTAGATAATTGTATATTTTACATATGCATTTGTATAAATGACAACCGAGAGTGGAAGAGAGAGGAGAGAGGCGGGCGAGATTGGAGGGGGGGGGGGGGAGAGGCAAGCGAGAGTGGGAGAGAGGTGAAGTATATGCATATTGAACATGTATACATGTTAGCCTATGATGTAAAAGAATACAACGTTTCTTTAAAATGTGTTTTTTTATAGTAAATTTGAGAATAATAAGTTACTTGTAAATTCTTCATTGAATTTGAAGGGACAAATATTTAATATTGAGGTTGAATTGTGTCTTGCAAGTAAAGAACAACTCTTTAGTGTGTTAGCATGCTCAAATTGTAAGCAATTATTCACAAGATATAATGTGCGAAGGGAAATCTACTGCACAAGTTGTCACCGATCCACACATCTTATTCCTAGGTATATTTGCTCTTCTACAAAATTAAAATTACTAAGAACTAATTAAGATTATTTATTTTCTTTATTCAAACAAATAAATGTCTTAACTGACCATTAATTTTAAATTTTTTCATTAATTATCAAAACAGGTGTCAATTTTGAAGTTACTGTTAAGGACAACAGTGGTTTTGCCACAGCTATTGTTTCAGATGAAATTGCAGAGAAAATGTTGCACCTCACTTCCGCAGAAATTTATGAAATTTGCTTCGTCAAGGTATATATTATTTTTTTCACACCAAATAATAACAAAGAACTTGTAATGAATTTATATTTTCATTTTTTTCTTATTTCTTCTCTTGAACATAAGGTTCAAGTATCGATTCTGAACTATAAAAGAAAAAAAATATATCTTGAATAATATACTATCTAACTTGTAAGAGTTTTAAACTAATGTACATATGATTATGTGAACATATGAGTTCCTTAACTTGAAAAGAATGTTGTAGCTGTATAAGCTTAGAACTCTAGCATGACAAAATTTGAAATAAAAAACTTTTTTCATACAAAATTTCATATCTTAAGTTCATGTTTCTTTTCTGCAACATCCAAATTACACTTTTTGTTGTTGAATTTACAGTCAACTTTCTTTATTAAAATATTATCATTGTATATATAATTTTAAGTTTTTATCCATCTTACAAGTTTTTTCTGTTGACTGAGAACTTTGTGCAAACTGTTGTGCACCTACTACAATAGGCATGACCGTTTTTAGAACTATAATTACGTGTTAACTCTAATTAGTCGAAAGACCTTCAGTATTGAATTTGAGTTCAGATGTAAATACATAAACATAGAAATATTTATTTTCCTTTAAATAAATTTAATATTAATTTTTTTGGGTAATTAACTTTCCTTTCTTCATCCACTTTTCTTTTGATTTAAGAATTCATGATCAATGCATATCTTATTATTGTTTAATTTGTTATTATTAATCAAATATTTTTTACCAGAAAGGAACATTATCGCTGCAAAATGTGGAAGATCAACTGAATGGAAAGATATTCAACAATAAAATGAAAAAGCTATTCACAAAAAAATTGGATGCAACGCAAAAATTATCCATTTTGGCTTACCTGGAGAAAAAAGATGTCGTTCATGAACCAATGGCATCTACAACAGTCAATGTTACAGAAGGAAAAAAGCGCACAATTGAACATGTTAATTCAAGGGAAAAAGAATATCCACGCATCGCAAATAAATTTAATCCTCCCATGAAAAAAAATTAAAAGGCATATAAATTATTTTGTACTTTGTTTAAAACTTTTTCTTTGCAATTGACTAATAGAAATAGGATTTACTATCTTTGTTTTTATTTTCTTTGAATTCAATTCAGTCTCTAGACAGATTATTTCTTATTATTTCAAATTTCAGTTGAAATATTTTTGTTGTAGTTGTCGAAGCAGTCAGTTTTTGCACTTTTTTGCTGCTGCCACTGAATGCCAAATTTTGCAAGCTTCTGATGTTGCTATGTGGATGTCTTATGTCCCTGTTCTTTGATGGAAACTGAAAATATTTTCTCCTATGATAGCAGGTTAGTTAAAAGTCATTTTTTACAGGTACTACATTTATCAACATAATGAAAATACTTTCTTTTTGTTTTTATAGTTATTTCTATCGTTGAAGGCTATTGTGTTCATTTTTAGTTCCTAAAAAATGATGTAACTTTCCTCTATTGATTTTGTCAGAATAACCACCTTAAATCGATAGAATCAAAAATTACAATACAAAATAACATTTACTAATTAAAAACCTCTGAAATCAAACCTGTTTAGTAAAACTTATCTAGAAAGAAATGATGAGAATAATCCTTCTACAATATGCAAAGCTCGAAAAAGCTTTATGCTAATTTCAAATGACACTTAGTACTGTATAATATATACCCTGCACAAGTTATGTCATTATATATTTGGCTTATCATGACCCTATAAAATTGATCTAAACTCTGGAATAGGCTTTTGATCAAACACTACTACTGGTATGTTACTTTTCAAAACTATAGTAATCTGCTGATTCTTTCACATTTTTCATCGCATTTTATTTGTACATCATACTATTTTTTCTTTCTCTTAAGGGTTAAAATTTGGGTTGTGTTATTCTGTTTCCACCTCTTCATGATTTATCGAAACTTGAGATTTTTAATATCGTCGTCATATGTCCATTTACTATCTGCTGATGATCTAATTTGAAACTCTTGAACTGAATTTCTCCAAGACAAGTTTAAAGGTAAATATTAAAGATATTTCATAAATTCTTTGTCCAGATTGATTAAAACCTTTAACATTAATGTCACAATTATGAATCAATTTCTTTATAAATAATGATCCTTTAGTTTATATAAAATGTCTTATGTCAATCGTGAAATAGGGCTTCAAAGATGAGGCTTAGTTGAAGCTTAATGTTGCCACATTTTTTTTCATTTTGTGTTGTATAAGTTATGTGATGTGATTCTGTCCTAACAGGTGATTTTTTATCAAAGATAATCCGGAAGATCCAAGCATGAAAGATGCATCTGTTTTTGTCTAATTCTATACAGTATGTAAATGTATGTAATTAGTATTCCCACATATGAAAATGTTAAACTATGTAAGTATCTCACTTCGACATTCAGTAGTATGACATTCACATGAAAATATATTATGAACAAATTTGGCAGCTATAATGCGTTCGAATTACTAATTTTTCTCGTTGCAATATTAATTTTGTTTGTTTAATATGCAACTAATTAAATTTAGGTCCATTATAAATACCTATAATGCTCCCAACTATAGCATCATCAGCTGAAAGCATATCTGCAAGCCTGGAGCAGTATTATGCATACAAATTTAGCAACTCGTAAATGTTAATTGCTAATTTGTTAACATTCAGCTACTCTTGATGTTCACATACTGTCAATTTGCTTAATAAACAGTGCATTTGTTTTGTGAACAAAATGTTATTTAACCATGTAATGTTGTGAAGTATGCTAATAGTTCAATACAAAATAGTCATCTAATGTTGTTAAGTATGCTAGTAGTCCAATACAAAACAGCCAAGCAGAGCTGATACCTGCACTTTGATATATACTGTCCTTAATTCAAAGACAAAATTATCATTTTTATATCCTATTGTTTCAAATCAAAATGTACAAAGGAAGTGACCACAATGTTTTATAGCTAACATGAATTCGTATGTATGAAAGTAATTCCCAATTGAAGTTTTAGTATTGAAGGGAATTTTCACCGTGCTTAAGAAATTTTGATGAAATATTTTGTTTTGATACCGTAGGTAAATCAAACAAAAATAAAAAACAAGACTTGACCAATAACGTTTATAAAATAAAATATATATCGTAAAATAAAATGATAATAAATATATAAAATATTAAATGTTGGGCTCGTGCTTAGAACGGGCAACACTCATCTAGTATATTTAGAAGAGCCGAATTGGAAGATGACCAAGGGTAAATTCATATTTTTTGATATCCTTTTAGAATAAAATAGTAATTATGTCATAGCTATTAGAACGGATTTCTAGAAGGACGTGGACCTTTCTTTTTCCTAATCATCAAGAGTCTCTTCTCTTTCCTTGACAAAAAAAAATTAAAAAGATCTTTTCAATTTTCAGTAATACAAGGTATGAAAATTAAAAAGATCTTTTCAATCTTCAGTAATTAAAAAATTCCATATACACTAATCAATAAAAATTTTCTTACCTTGTTAACCGTTTGTTCAAAAAATCTAACCTTACATTGATATTTCATCAAGAAAGTAAAATTAGATACAAAGAAGAAACAACAATAATGAGCTAAAATAGTGAAGATCCCTATATTTTGTGGTAGCTAAAATAGTTTTTATTCAATAACATCATATCAAAATAAAAGAAAATTTTCCTTTTAAAATTTGATATTGTTTTTATATATGATGCGAATACTCCTTGTTCTTTCCGGAAAATGAATATGAAGATACATATAAAGAAACATGATACCATGAAAGCATACTACAAAATATCATTTTATAAACCCCTCTAAATACACAAATAATATCGCATTTATCTATTATAATTAAAGTACATTTTATAAGAATAAATCAATTAATGAAAATTCTAAAATCAATCTTCCAAATAAATCAACTTCCTCCTTTTCATAGCAAATCAATTTCTGCTAGCACTCCTTACAAAGAAAGTGATCTTCATATATTATCCAATGAATGTTGCATGTAAATTGATATGACAATTATTCAGTTCCAACACGTATCAACTCTACATGTTTCTCCATTTCCCATTTTCTTTAGTTCATGCAAAAGGAAAAATTTAAGTGAAAAGAAAGAAACTTAGAAAGAAGGCCAGATGCACAACTAAAGAAACAAAACTTGAACAAAATGGAAATCATTCGTTACTTTTATATAGTGTTTTTTATTTTCTTTGAAATTCGTTTTGACATAATAATTAATGAACTATTCAAATTCTACTGATTGTTATATTAACAAAAATTAGTTACTAATTTAGAAGAGTTAGAATTCGATAAGTCAAGTTAAGAAAATGAAAAGGACAAATTATAGGAATTGTAAGAGTTAGGTAAAGTAATACACGATGTGTTAATTTAAAGCAATTAATTCATGTATGACTCTGGGCATTGAAGTACCACATTTCCACTTCCAAATCCCGTTCAATTTATGTAATTGAAAAATTAATTAATTGAATTTTATTTAACTTTTACTTAAGGTGCGCAAAATATTATTATTATTATTATTACTATTATTATTATGATTATTATTCAATTGTGAGAGGTTAACAGATATTAAATATTGTAATTATAGGTAGCATAAAAATTCGGCTATGAATACAAATATATATTGAAGAAAACTTATTGAGAATTCTAATATTTGACAACTTTTGACTTGAGTTCTTCCCACTTATAATAATATATGATATGATGTGATATATGATTATTATTATTATATATAAGATGATATATGATTTGATAAACTCCTATGAAAGAAGAAAACTAACCAAATGAAGAGGTGAAACTGCAAGTACCCAAGTAAGCCATCTGCAAAAAGTAGAGCTGCAACAAACAAACCAAGACATATTAGGCAAATATCTCTCTTGTTTTGCAAGTAGAATTCAGCTGTGGGCAATCGACTTACAGGGAGAAGGTATAGTAACTCCTCTTCCTCTAATCAACAATTCATATGAAGCATATATATTGGTTACATTATACTTCTGCACTTTCCTTGAAGTAAAACTCCCTACATCTTTCCTTCTGTGTCAAAACCAACAAGTTATCTCGGTTTCTTATGTACCTGAGAAAAAGGTAATCTGGTCTAAGAGTAGGACCCTTGAGGAAATTTATTTAACACAGATACGGATGCAATATCTTACCAAGTCAGTAGGACAAGTAACGGGCAACTGAATGATGTGAATTTCTGACAGCCCGGTGTATGAAGCATCCACGTTCAGACTAGGTCTGGAGATGGACCACTCTCCAAGGGGTGTGTTGAAGGCAGCCTTCCCTGATGCTTATCAGTGATTGATTCCTTGGCTTGAACCCAGTTCATGTGACATAGAGACAACTTTACCGTTACTCCAAGACTCCCCTTCTGCTAAAACATCTTACAAACAGTAAAATTCAGGTATTACTGTACAGAAGCATTGAGAAGATAAAACTTTGGGAGATGATAGAGCAAAATCCACCCACAACTCCAACCAAGAGATCCTCGCTTTTACTTGCTCAACTGACAGTAATGGAGAGCAGGTACAAAACTATGTTCCAAGAAGTGGACAATTTCAACAACAGCTTGCACTCTAATGGCTGATAGCTTCCATGGCGACCCGCACAAGACGCAATAATCCATCCACATCCTGGAAGTTGAAATCAAGGGCCCTCTTAACAGATAATGCACCCTCTTTACATTGTGAATCTCCCGGCCCTGGATAAACAGCTGCAAAAGCAACACGTGATTTCCTGGAGGCCTCCATAGCAAAATTAACTGCCTGTGCCTGTAAAATAACAAAACTATATGTTTAGAAAATTGAAACAACATTGCATAGTCAAACTATCAAAAAATCAGAACCTAGAACCTGACTTCTTAACGGATACTTATGGGAAAAGGTTTTGACAAGTAAGCCATTTTTTCATGTCCTTTGCGCAAATAAAATGGTAGATAACAATTAAGGGGACAGGAAAACAAAGTTCAATCCCTTGGAAGAAAGATGATGAAGCCAAATGAATGCGGTTCAAACAGCTAATTTTGTCTTACCGTTCTTTAGGCAATTATTATATCTAATCACAGTGTTAGTTATCACAAAACATTTCTTTAATTGAGGTGTTGGTTCATCATTAAAATGATAAGATATGTCTACTTACCAAGTTGATTAGCTGCGTGAAGCTGGAACCATTTCCTGCTGAGATAACATGAGTTCCCGCTACTTGAGGAGAACCAACAACTTTTGCCGATGCAGCCATGTCTACTATTGTTGGATTGTTCAAATTGTCAACATCAGAGATAGAAGAGAAAGGAGACTCACCTATTATATAATAATGAGTATGGTAAGAGTAATAACGAAAAAAATAAAAACGGGGCAGCCCGGTGCACAAGGCCCCCGCTATGTGTGGGATCCAGGGAAGGGCCGGACTACAAGAGTCTATTGTATGCGGCCTTACCCTGCATTTCTGCAAGAGGCTTTTACACAGCTCGAACCCGCGACCTCCTAGTCACATGGAAACAACTTTACAAATTACGCAAACGGTCCCTTCGGTAAGAGTAATAACCATTAAGAAGAAAAGTTCAATGCAGCTCATCCTCATTAGATAAATATGGTTGTAACACATTCTAACTAGTTTAACTATTTCCAGTAGTCATATTTTATACTAATGCTTTCTTCCCTGAGCAATCCTGTTCATCAACAGTGGATATCACTAATTTTGACATATGCCGTACTTCCCCGACTAGAAGGACAGAAGTGTAAATACGCATTAACCAATACGTACATGTGATGATTATGGAGTAAAAAAAGAAATCATTTGACATGTTCATTGAGTAACCATCAAAGAGCAGATTAGTAATATCAAAAGTTAAAGTAGTGGCCTAAAGAAGCACCAAGATATGAAATGTAGATTTCCCAGACATCTCAATCCAGATTACCTGGAGGAAAAATTTGTAGAGCTGTTTGTAACTCGTTTCTGTATCTGTTTGCGTCGGACTGTGAAGAATAAATTACTCGCATGTAAGCAACCTCCATGCATTTATAGGCAAGTGCGGCAGCTGCCATGTCTCTCAATTTCTCATATTCATGACCACAAAACCTATGCACATAAGAAGGACCAACAATCAACATACATCCTTGTTGACATTTCAGATGGTAGGTCAAGTTTTTCATTAAATTGGAACAACTGACATCGAAAATACATCAAACTATATCCATAAGTAGCATAAATTCCACATGTTTGAAAAGTACTACCCAATGAAATTTGCTCTTCCAATTGAGTAAAAAAGCACCATAAACCTTGGCTGCATAGACATCTCTTCAAATAGTGGAAGTTGAAAAGCACTATCATATTCAGAAAAATAGATTAGGTCACAAAGAGACCAGTATCTGTGGGAATAGCCTCTCTATCTCCAAGGTGGGGTAAGGTTTGTGTACCCCACTTTGTGGGATTACACCAGGAATATTGTTGTAGATTAGGTCACAAAGTTTTTCATAATACATGACACCAGAGAAGGAAATTGCGTCCAAAAATTATATGAGGTATAACTGAATATAAACTGAAACACAACTTTGGATTAAATTTTTTAATCGCACTAAAATTGTACTGTTATATCTGGCTGCTAATGTTGTTGTCAACAAGAAACGAATATGCTAACAAGTTCAACACTTATAAAGTAGCTGATACAGAACAATTACCAACATATCAACCAAATTTTACAGCTAGTGTCGCTTCAAGAAAATCCAAATCTTCAATTATTCTTAGATCCTTCATAAATGTAAAGAATGGGAAAACATAGTGTCAAGGAAAATTCTGTAATTTTGAAACATCATTCTCATAAGTCAAATAAAGACTCAAAAAAATACGCCCTCCGTTTCAATTAGTTCGTCTCTAGTTTTAACTTGGCACCGCGTTTAAGAAATGAAGAAGAATTTTGAAGCTTGTTGTCTTAAACTAAAGATATGCAGAATGTACCAAAATGTTCTTTAATCATGTGCTCTTAAACATGCCATGAGGAAAGTTGAAATCAAAGAGTTGCCGAAAAAGAAGAGACATTCTTATTTTAAACGGACTAAAAAGGGAAGTAGGACAAACAAATTGAAATGGAGGGGGTAAAAGAATGCTATTAAGGGGTAAGGTCTGAGTTAAGGGAATTATTTGCTATTCAACAGCATGGCATTTGCTAAGAGTTGCTGAGACACTTCATACTTGGCCAGACTGGGTCTTTAATGGGAGATTTACATGAACGACTACATTGGGTATGCTGCAGACGTGTCTCAAATTCTAAGAACTTAGGCATGTAGGAATAATAAATACTCTACAATCTTTTCTAACACAATACATTCATGCTTGCAACCGTTCTTTGCATGTCATCTCAATGAATAACCCATGTTCAAATTAAAAGGGAACTCACTGGCAGAGTTTTGCAGTGCTGCTATAGATGCTCCTTGACTGGTTCTGTTCACCATGCTTGGAGCTGTCTAATTCTAGTAAGGAGGCACCATGGAGAAACTTTAATGCCGCTTGGAAATAGATACCCGTACTTTCGCTTGATCCAGAATTCTAAAACAAATAGCCAAAGTTATGCCAACATAAATAAATAAATGAAACAAATAATAAAGCATATCCACCATATTTTATCCCCTCCTTTCTTTGGACATAAGTGTAAATTCTTTTAACCTTGAGACGATCTGCCAGGTGTTTAAGGTTTGTGGCTTCTTTTATGGCATTTGTAGCAGCTTGACTTGATGAATCCTTCCGAACAGGACTGGGAACATCTTGATACCTGACCTTATTAGCAGTATTATTAGGTAGATTTCCGTGGTGGCTTTTAGCTTTTTTACCCTGTCTTGAAGTATTTGACCTTTCCCTTTCAAAAGCATTGCCATTTTCCCTTTCAGATCCAGGAACTGGCTCTTTAAATACAGCTGTCTCATTCTGATCTCTTGTTAAAGGAGACTTGGAAGAGACGTTAATCTGCTCACTTTTGTTGGAAATGACCTTAGATGATCTCTCATCATCACGTTCAGGTAGTGTAGCCTGCCTTTTATCCAGGCGGGCCACAACATCCATTTGAACTTCTGCATCATCACGATGAACAAATCTTGATTCATTATCTCCTTTAACATTTTTTTCCAATAATTTTCCAGAAGGATCCTTCTTAGAACTCTTTTTTAATCTATCTGAACCAACAACAGATTTCCCCTGAGACTTATTTTTTCCTGGTGCCGTCTTCTCTTCATTAAATGGCATTTGCTCTGAAGATAAATTTAAGATATCAGTATCTTTGGTCTTACATTGGTCAGAATCAGATTTTGGAGCCCGATTCTTCTCTTTACGCCGTGACGAGGAACCTCTTTTCCTATTTGACACAGACCCACTATTCTGAAACTGATGGTCATTCTTTCTCTCCTTATCGGAGCCTTGGTCTGAGTTTCCAGTCTTGCAAGCAAAGTGACTAGCTTGACGTAAGGGATCTGCACTTACATCGGTATCCTGTTGAGTTGCATAACCAGAAACCATGGACTTTGCTTTGACTTTTTTACCTGATTCACGATGAACATCTTTCTCCTCTAATTCAGCTTCAGATAATAGATCATAACTCTTGCCATTGCAGGCATTATCCTTCTTAACCATACTGGATTTATTGGAGAACACATCATTTTCACCATCAGAAGACCTCTTGGGACTAGAAGTGGGTAAGGCTGAAGAGGGAGCAACAGAAGGTCGCGAATTGCATAGATCCTTTTGTGAAGAATCTGCAGCTTTAACACTCAACAAAGATAGAGTACTATCCAGATCTTGCCCAGCCTGCTGTTCCTTTTTAACTTGACCTGTTCCAGCACTACCTTTGCTTGCACTAGTGTCCTTCCGGTCAGACAAGGAGACCCTTGCTACCTTTTCCTTCCTAGAGATGTCATCACATATTTTTTCCATAGAATCCTGGGGATTACATGTCAAGGAATCTCGCAGTTCTCTCCCTTTTCTCTTAATCGGAGAATCATTATTGTCACACTTCCCCTTATGCGTTGACACATCGGAAATATAAGCTTCTGGGTTCTTTGCTGAAACCAAGTCTTTCTTTGAATCATCCTCTGAGTCCCTGTTCTTACATTTGTCACGAATCATCTCTGGCATTTTACTGCTTGAACTCCATCTAGACTTTTCAACAACAGGGCAAAAGGTCTGGTTCTCGTCATCGAGTGCATCATCTTGTATAATTTTTTTGGAAGATACATCTGATTCCACTTCACTTGTGTTCCTTGTATTTGCATCCTTCGTACCTGTCAAACATCCCATACAGAAAATAAAGATAAAGACCAGAATTTCACGATGGCAGCAAGTTCAAAATGTGACTACTAAAGATGAATACCTCCATCAGAGTGGTTATCATGAGAAATTTTCTTCTCTTTGTTTTTATGTCTCCTCTTCTCTACAACTGAGCTATTTGGAACGCCGGTGTGTTGGTTGCAAGTTTTATCCAGTGAACGAGAAGTACCACTTGAGCTTCTACAATTCGGGTTCTCCTGATGGTTCATCATAACGTAGTTGGAAGATTGTGAGCCGTCTTCTTTGGTTCCACTTGACGAACCTTTTGATCCATATCTTTTCCTGCCACTGGAATCGATACCTTGTACACTATGATCCCGGTTGTCTTGGCTGGCATGCAAAGCATCAAGGGAAGTTGATTCATTTGAAGCCAATATCGGATACTCCCCGGATGAACATGGCTTCTCAGTTTTTCCAACATTAACTCTTTCCTTTGTCAAGCAGTTATGTTCAACCAAACTTTTATTACCGACAGCATCAGAAACCTTCAACATTTCTGGTGAACGACTTTCCTGTGAACCAGCTTTATAGGATGAGCATTCTGCTGTCTTATCCCTAACGGCTGCTCTTGGACTGTCACTTACTCTGCCAGCATCTTTTAGAGGATCAGCAACATTATGATTTGGATTAGATAATAGAGGGAGTTTTAATGCCTCAGAAACAAGTTCTTCACAGGTGATAACCTTTAGATCAAGCTCCTTTGATTGCACTGTGCTACCATTTTGATTGTCACTGCCATAGCCAATTCCTAAAACATCTTTATTGTACGATTTCCATTTCCTAGCTTCCGAAGATCTCCTATTTGCATAATGAGCTCCATTTACTAAGGTAACAGAAGTTTCTAGGCTTTCCTGGATCATACATTCAGATGTGGATCCCCCCCGTACCTTTTCTTTTTCAGTCAAGCAAAGCAGATCATCCGAAAGCGGGGATAACAATAGTCCATCATGCATTGGATATGAGGTCATAATCTGCCTCAATACATGGACGAAAAAAATGCAGAACCCAAGGTCAAGTTGACCAAAAAAAGGAGAGATGTAAAGAAAAAGATTACGCTTTTAGCAGAGGGTGAGAGCATTCACCTGAAGTATACTTGTTGGAGATTCATATCGGGAATCCCTAAGGTCATGGGATAAGCCTTCACTGCTTATCGGGCTATCATCCAGCGACGATGATGGAGATACATCAAGGCCAAGGCCGCTGTAGATTTCAGCTTTCTTTTGGGTTGAGAATTTTTTAATACCAATTCTCGCATGCAACTTGGGAGTTTTCTTGTCTGAGAGATTTGTTGGCTTCTTGACTAGTTCACTTCTTGAAGTGGAGTCTTCATCTTGCGCAGGTTGCAGAGATGAATTTGTTTTCCCATTAGCTGCTGGAGCCTTCAGTGTAGGTACTATTGTTGATGAATAGGCAGAAGATGCTAGGGGCTTTCCTGATAGAGAAGCAGATGAGGAGGCTGATGAGGGTCGACGACCACCCTGCATAACAAGATGATGCATATTGCTTAGTCAAAGTAGAAATATGTGAGGAAAGCAATTGTACTTGTTAATAAAACACAACTTCATTAGAAGGTAGTTGAAGTATGTGACTATCTCATCTAAAAAGCTTAATCAATTATTCGATCCCAGGACCTCTATCTGCTTTGATACTATGTGGAGCAGTGGAAGTGTGTGACCATCACATTTAAAAGCTTATGTTATTATAGAGAGCACACTTTTATTTACTTATTTATATTCTCAACAGTAGCTACCTCTGGGCGCAAACTGCTCGGTGATGTTGATCTGTTATTGTTGTAGGCATCTGGTGGAGTCTTTGTACAAGTCCAAGAAGGTGAACGCTGATATGTAGGTAAAAATGAACCGTATCCACCAAATTTTGACCCTGCAACACATACAAATTGATAGTCATTATTTCGAGGCACGTCACCACGAACTTCTGATTCTAAGGATATGCCATTGTAATACCCAAGTTCTCAGATGAAACTCCATCCTCAAAATCCTTTTGGAAATGTCCCAAAACATCTTGGAGTTTCTCATCCTTGAAAGAATAAGAACAGCTATGTGAGAAGCTGGAAAGTGCATAATACAATTGTATGAAACGGGCTGTTGCAACAGCAAGTTCTTTTAACAGTTTCAACTTTCAACATGACAGCCAGTTGAAAATAAAAGTGAGAAAGTTAAGATGGCGCAAGAATTATATGCAGAAAGATACTTCCTTGGTAAGGTAAATCACAAAATTGATATTAAAAGCATAAACATGGCGATGACAAAGTTTAGAGCTTGATTGAGGCTTGACTAAAGATTAGGCAAAGCATAAAAATCAAGACAAAGCAAATTAAATATAAACTAAACAAATTACAATTATTATGGTACAAGCAAGAAATAGGCACCCGAGTCTACTGTTAAATGAACAAAGGATTCATGAAAAGTATCACGAGGCGGACTCATCAAGTTCGGGACACAGGGAAAGTTAATGATCTGATTATAAGAAGTTGAAGTCCAAATCTTAGTTCAAAGCTAGAAAATGTAACACTAACCAACACTTATAGTCTAGTGTTACTGCTTGAAATCTATCACACAATCCGTATGGGTCCAATTCCGACTTCTACCCTTGCCTGATTCCCCATGTTAAGCAAAGCCAGGATTTCAGCTTATGATTTCGGGGTTCTAGCTCTTTTAAACTACTGGATTTCAAATCAATAATTTGCACATATTCACTGAACTTTTTTAAGACAAGTATAGGATTTGGACCAAAGCTACTGGATTCGACCAAAACAACAAGCTATATTCAAGCTCCGATGCAGCCTATTTAATCTACTACTACTACTGCAACAACAACTGCGCCTTAATGAATCCTCACTAACCCTGTCACTCTATTTAAGGTCATCTCGGACAACTATTACACAAGCATTAGAAGTTCTCTCCACAATATCTACTGACATATGGATATCCCGATGTAACATTGATTAATAAAAATGTAAGCATGGAAAGTGAACAAGAAAAGGAAGGACAAAAAGCATATAATATAATAGAGAACAATATCATGGTCAACAAGCTATACTCTAGCTTCGACGCAACCTATATATTCTACTACTGTTGCTGCAACAACTACTACACCTTAATGAATCCTCACTAACCCTGTCACTCCATATAAGCTCATCATAGACAACTATTACACAAGTATTAGAAGTTCTCTCTACATTTTCTAGCGACATATATCCCTATGTAACATTGATTAATAAAAATGTAATCTTGGAAAGTAAATAAGAAAAAGGAAGGAAAAAAACATACAATATATGAGAGTGCAATATCAGGGTCAACAGTCGAATCATCACAAGTCTCTCCTTCTTCAAACTTATTCTTATTCATCTCTGTTTTAACACCAAATTCTTAAATTAACCCCTTTCTTTCCATCCCACTCCCTACAGAAATCATTCAACCAAAGCTGGAATTTCAAGAATTTTCAAACCTTCAATCCCCTTTACTTCAACTACACCAAATTACAATATGGAACAACAAAAACAAAAACTTGCTTCAGAACCAAATCAAAATTATAGAAAAAAATGGAATTTCAAGAATCTTCAAACCCTCAGGTCCCCTTTACTTCAACTACAAAAAAAAACTAAAATATACACCAAAGTATTACAACATGGAACAACAAAACCCCAGAAGAACTTGCTTCAGAACCAAATCAAAATCTAGAAAATATGGAATTTATGAACACTTTCAAAACTCTCAAAGCCCCTTACTTTAACTACAAAAAATAAATAAAAAGAAAATATATTAACCAAATTACAAAATGAAACAACAAAAACCCATAAATAATAAAACAAAAACTTGCTTCAGAACCAAATCTAATCGTATAAAAATGAAATTTCAAAGAATATTCTCAAACCCCCAAATCACTAAATTCAACTACAACATAAAAAAAAAAAAACTACAACATAAAAATTAAAAAATAAAAATTCCTTCACCCAATTACAACCAAGCAAAAACCCAGAAAACCCCAAAAAAATCTGCTCAACCAATCAAAAAAAGTGGGACAAAAAACAATCTTTTACCAACAAAGTTGACCTTTTTAAACAATCAATCAAATTCACCAAAAAAACAAAAAAAAAACTGTATATGAAAAGCTCAAAATATCTCAATTTCTAATATATATTGGATCGAATTAGTGCGATCTCAGTTTAGCTCAAAAATGATGAGAGAAAAAGAGAAATGAAAGAGAGAGAAAAAGCCTCCTTTTACTTCTTTTTTTTTTTCCTCATTTTGTTTGGTTAACTGTTTTTTTCTAAATAAAGAAAAAGAACTGTTTTTTTTTTCTTAAACTGTAAAAGATAGTTTTTTTTTGTGATATAATTTTGTTTTTCTTTATACCTAAACTGTAAAAAGTTGGTTGTTTACTACCTCTCAATTGTTGAACTTTCCTTTTCACTTTTGGCATTTGTAAATTTAAATGTATATTATGTTTAGACATAATAAATATGTGATTCAAATTTAAAAGTAATTTAACTTTAGAGAAATATATAAATTCAACAACAAAAGCATTATTTGATAAAAGAAATGATATTGTTATGTTTGTTAGTGACGATAGAGATGGGACGGTTGGTGTTGTAATGACTGAAGCGACGGTGGAAATTGATAGCAATGAAAGTTGTTGTGATAATGGGGTCGATTGAAGTTAGTAATTTGTGGTGTAATGGGGTTTGAAGATTGTGTGATGATTGATGATGGTGTTGGCGGTGGTTGAAGACAGTGCTAGTTGTGATAGTGGAGGTGATTAATATTTGATGGTAAGAATTGATCCCTTTGATGGCAGTGAGTGATCGTGATCGTAGTCAGGGGTGGCTCGACAGTGTTTAAAAAAGACATGTGTCTTAGGCACCTTAAATTTAGGGGCCTCATTTTTAAAAATAAAATAGGTCATAAGTGTCACGACCCAAAACGGACCGCGAGTGGCACCCAGACTTATCCCACTGTGTGAGCGAATCAACCAATCTAAACCCCAACATTTCAAACATAATAAATAGAAAACAATGCGGAAGACTTAAACTCATTAATGAAATCAATTAACAACTTCTAAAATTTATCAATTAATATCTCCAAAATCTGGAAGTCATCGTCACAAGAACATCTATCCTCAAATTACTAATCTAAGAGTATCTAAGAAGCTAAAATACATAAAAAAGCTAGTCCATGCCGGAACTTCAAGGCATCAAGACATGAAGAGGAAGATCCAGTCTAAGCTAGAAGCATTAGCTCACCCTGAAATCCAGAGTAATGAAGACGGGCTAGAGTTGCGGTTGAGTTGAAGACGACGGTATATTTGCTACACCCCACATATAACAAAGAAAGAAACATACAAGTAGGGGTCAGTACAAAACACAAGTACTGAGTAGGTATCATCGGCCAACTCAAAATAGAAAACAATATATATCAAGTAATAATATAAAATCAACTACACTACTCAACATATAGCAACAACAAGTACTATAATCGTTAATAAGTACAGCCAAGTTCACACATGAGGACTCAAGCCTCAATACCATACTCATTTAGGAATTAGGTTCATTAGATTGAGTATATTAATATCTTTCAAGATTCATCACCTTTATTCTTGTGTCGGTATGTGACACTCCGCTCCCCTACTACTATGTGTCGGAACGTGACACTCCGATCCCCTAGTTCTACGTGTCGGTTCGTGACACCCGATCCCGTAATTCTACGTGTCGGTTCGTGACACCCGATCCCCTAATTCTACGTGTCGGTTCGTGACACCCGCTCCACTAATCTCATTCTATTAATTCATCAAGCCTTCTTTTATACCAAGGCATCATCAATCTCATTACTTTAGTTCATCAAGCCTTCTTTTATACCAAGGCATCATCATTAACAAGGGGTTTTCAAGATTTGGGATTCAATAGCTTCATCATGCTTATTTCATCACAATTATATAATCATATTCATGCAAGCATACAATTAAGCATATAGAAGACTTTACAATACAACCCAACACATATCATTCGCTATTAAGAGTTAACTACGAATAGTATAAAAATCATAACCGAAGATTCGTGATCAAGCAGCAATCTCCTCAAGATCTTTGCTTTCCTCTTCGTTCCTCTCTCTCGAGATCGTTTCTCCCTCTCTTTCTGTTCTTTTCTTTTTCTTATTCAAACCCTCTTTCTTTTACCCTAATTAGCATATAATTAAGTATGAAAGATGCTGAATTTAACCCATTAATTAATTCAAGGTTATCTCTTTTAACCCTCAAGTAGTTAAATTCTTAATATTAACCCACTAAATTTATAATTATAGCAGGAATAGTCCAAAATGCCCCCTTAGAACATTTAAAGAAATCCGACTCAGCCTGGGATTACGCAGTCTATGACGGGCCGTCGTGCTTGCGACGGTCTGTCCTGCTGGGTCGTCACAGAGTTCAGAGACTAAATTTCTGTGGAAGATGTGTGACGGTCCGTCGTGCCCACGACGGTCCGTCCTTCCATTCCGTTACGAAGTTCAGAGAGTCGATTTCAACACCCAAATTTCAGAATTCTAAGTGTTTTGTAACGAGACCCCCTCGACGGTCCGTCGTGCCCATGACGGTCCGTCGTGGGATCCGTCATCTCAGCCAGTTTTTCCAGAAATAAAATCTGTTGCTCAAAACGACTAAACGGGTCGTTACAATAAGTTATTATTTTTTTAAAAAAATATTGAATACTATTAGTAGAAAAAGTAAAATTTTCATGAAATTGAAGGAATTATTAGAAAAAAATTGACATATTTGAAATACTATATCTTATGAAAAATAATTTAAATAAGAATGGTTTTATGAATTGAAAACTAGAAGAAATCAATTATATAAAAGTTATTAACATTTTAAGTTTAAGGTCTCGTAGATTTTTGTTTTAGGCCACTAAGTTGAGCCGCTCCTGATCATAATAGTAAGAATTGATCACATTGAATATCATATATTATTATAAGTGGGAAGCTCCAACCTTCAAAGTTGTATTACCATTTTGCCCCTCCACTAAATCAAAATAAATTAATTTATTTTTAAATACTAATATTTAATTACATAATGGTATAATATGAGATCCAACAACTACTTTAGTTTTTTAGTTATGACATTATAATTGTAATTAAATAGATTAAATTAAATTAGAGTAAAAAACAATAATGTATGAAACTCTTCAAATTTTCTGATTCTTTGAATTTTGAAATTAACATAAATTTATCTGTCATAAAACTATAATGTATGAAACTCTTCAAAGTTTGTGATTCATTGAATTTAGAAACTAAAATAAATGTATCTATCATGGTTCAATGCCCTATTAAAAAAATTTGGTAGATGAAAGACAATCAAATATCACTATAAATACCAGTTAATTGCTTCCTAGATCATCATATTCTCTTTTTTCCTGTCATCTACTATTCTCTTTTTTTTCTTACTAAATTATGATAGAACTACGTGCCATCAAGAAGCTAACCGGGGAGAAGAACAAATAGTTTCATTTTGAAATTAAAAGAGAAGCAAGAGAAGCTTTCTTACAGAATAGTTGAACGGTTAAAGTTAACAATATAAGATATGACTTATATATTTCTTTAAATCATTTTATGTTAGATTATGATTTTATGTTTTTCGTTTTCATTTTGGAGTTAAGGTATGGTTGTTCAAAATGGATTTGGTATGCAACCCATATTTTTATGTAATTATATACTTGTATTATTATGAAAAAGAATTTCTTTGTTTTTGTGTTATTAAGCTTTTAAGTGTTATTTAATTGACAAAACTTCTATTAGTACATGATAAATTTGATAATATTTGAATAGTTTATGCAAAATATGTTTTTGTTTAAATAGAAGTTATTTAAATAAATACATAATAATAGTGTTACATATATATAATTTACTTTTTTGATACTATCATGCAAAGCACGTATCGAAAACTAGTAATATTATAATAACAAAAGTGATAAATGTTATAGCAACTAACAGTAACGTAATTAACAAAATTAATCATTATCACTAACAGCAAATATGATTGATGGTAATAGCTACTAGTTATGAAGTCTCAATCTCTATTCTCTAACGCTGATGATGTAAATATAACCTAATCACCTCACAAATGTTTTAATTTAGCATTTTCTCCATCTTTTTGCATGCCTTTATTAACTTTGCTGGTCCATTTATTTAAAGCGATTACATAATCATAAAGAAAAACATTTCCGTTGAAATTAATTTTGTCTGTACATATTTGTTGATATATCAAAATTATAAATCCAAAAGAGATGATGACACTGAATATTCTTCTTGTGATCCCTCATATTCTTGAGGCCAGCATCCCTTTAATTTGACCTAAAGGATTATGAATATAAATTAAAATGCACATTAATTAATTGTGGTTAAGTTAATTAAAGGAAAATCAAGCATTTATTAGCTTAATTGCAGAACTACTAAGCTAGGAGAGGACAACCTCTTGTTCTTGCTCCTCTTTCTTAGCTTCGCGATAGGTAACAATAGGAACAAATTATCCGAAGAAGACCAACACTTCTACTCTTCCATCTAGGAGCCGTTCTTGCAAAAAACAGGGATGTCGTAAATGGTGAGATACTACAGTAATCTTATAATCGAAACAGGATAAACACTATCTCATTCTTTATTTCGTTCCATTTCTGAAGTAAAGTTTAATTGACATAGAAAGAACTGTAGTGAATAACCATGTAGAAATATACAGTTCTTCATTGCTAAAATCAACTAGTACGTTATTTTATTTTACTCTATACACAAAAACAAATGCTGAATGACAATTATTATCAACTCTAGCTCAAAATGGGAAGTAGAAAGCAGATCCATAATCTATCTTGAGTATCCTTTTTATCTTTCTTCCTGTCGAAACGACTGAAATGACACAAAATAAAGGAGAGAGGGCCAACTGGGGGGCATTTGGGTGAGTCACGACTCGAATCCCTGACCCATTGGTAGGAAGAACCCTATCCGTGCACGGGACACTTCAGTGTTCCTGAGCAACGCCTCTGTCATCTTGATGGTCCTTCAAACTGTTCCCGGAGCAACTCATACTTTTTAAGCTCCGCCATTGACAACGAGGGGGAGATCTCTCCCAAGACCTTCAAAATGGAGAAAGATGATCATTTAACCAGTAGCATAGGATATATATCCACTCCCAGAGGCAGATGTATACTGGTTCAACTTAAATCAACACGGAGCGTAATATATATGTTAAGACAATTACTATCGATTATAAC